AAAACAATAAAGAATCAAAGTATTGGGGGGATATACAGGATTTGTAAAAGTAAAATATGAGACAAAGTATCACAAAGGATGGAAGGAGGTAAATGGACATATACTGCTGTAGGAGTCTTTCATTGTTCATGAAGTAGTATAATTTTCACTTAAAGATAAAATGTGATACATTTAAGATGCATATTATAATCTCTAGAGCAGTACTTGGCCAATAGAAATGGAATGTGAACTAGATATGTAATTCTAAATTTCTTATGAGCCACCATTTAAAAAAAGTAAAAGGAAACAAGTGAAATTAATATTAATATTTTACTTAGCCCAAAATATACAAAATATTTTCATTTCAACATGCAACCAATTTTTCAAAATCTGGTGTGTATTTAAATTTGTAACACATCTCAGTTTGGACTAGACACTATTTCAAGTACTTAACCACGTGTAGCTCATGGCTACCACATTAGAGAGTATAGCCCTGGCGTAAGGGTCAGCAAAGTTTTCTGTAAAGGAACTGATATAAACATTTTGGATTTTGTGGGCCATGTGGTCTCTGTCATGACTACCCAAATCTGCCATTGTAATGCAAAGCAGCCATAGACAATATATATATTAACGGGCATGGCTGTATTCTAATAAAACTTTATAAAAGCATGCGGGCTGGATTTGGCCTATGGATATAGTTTGCTAAACACTACTCTGGAGCAATGACTAAAAAAATAACACAAAGATAGGTATAAGCAAAAAGTCAATAGAGAAGATAATGTGGAATGCTAAAACATCAATAAATACTTAATACACAATTCATCCAAAAGGTGACAGAGGAGAGGAATAGAGGGACATTGAACAAACAGGACAAATATGAAACGAACACCAACATGTGAGGCAGACTTATGTGTAACATTAAAAGGCTGAACAAATCACTATAGAAGAGTGGTTATGTTAATATTAGATAGAACAAACATCAAAACAAGATTACTAAAAATAGAGAAATATTTCATAATGATAAAAGGGGCAATTAGTTAAAAAGCTATGATAATCCAAAACAAGCATATACCTATCAAAAGATTTTCAAAACACATGAAGCAAATAAATCCACAACCATAGTTAGAGACTTCGACACCCCTTTCAATAGTTAAAAGAACAGTAAACAAACAAACAAACAAAAAATCAGTAAGGATATTGAAGATTTGAGTGACACCACGAACCAATGTAACCCAAAATTATATTCATGAAACCTCACACTCAGTCTAAATATATGCAGAACACTCACCAAGGCAGACCACATACCAGGCCATAAAGCAAGTCTTAGTAATTACCAAAAAAGTTCTAAATAACTCATGCGTTAAAGTAGAAAGCGCAGGAGAAATTAGAAAATGTTTGTAACAAATAGTGGAAAGACAATATATCAAAATACGCAGAGTCTAAAGGAAAATTTATAGCTTTAAATGCTTTTATTAGAAGAAATGTAATAAGATAAATGAGTTAAGTTCCTACTTTAAAAAGCTAGACAAAGAATAACAAATTCAAAATCAGCAAAAGAAATAATAGTATAAATAAATGAAAACATAAGACAGAAAAACAAGAGGAAAAAAATAAAGTTAAAGTTGGTTCTCTGAAAGAATTAATTGATAATCACCTAGCAAAGCAAAAAAAGAGGAAACTCAAATTATCAATATCAGGAAATTTTAAAGGGACATAATTATAGACCCTACAGATATTAAAATTATAAGGGAATATTCTGAGCTAATAATTTTATGCTAATGATTTTGACAACTTAAAGGAAATAGAATAGTCCTTGAAAAACACAAAATACTAAAAGTGATACAAGAATAAATAAGAAAATCTAAATAGCCCCATATCTATTAAAGAAATTGAGTTCATAAAGAAAAACCACCCCGCAGAAAAACTCTACGCCCAGATGTCTTCACTGGTAAATTCTAACAAAAATTTAAGGAAAAAAATCCTATACACATAGTTTCAGAAAATAATAGAACTTCTTAACTAGTTTTATGAAGTCAGCATAATCCTGATACAAAAACTTGACAAAGATATCAAAAGAAAAGAAAATTACAATCTAATGTTCCTCATGAATAAAGATATAAAAATACTTCACAAACTATTAGCCAATCAAATCCAGCAACATGTAAAAAGGATAATACATCATGACCAAATGGGATTTCTCCCAGGAATACAAATCAGATTAAGCTCTCAAAACCAATCAATGAAATTCAAAATATTAATAAAGGGCGAAAACCATAAGATAACTGAAAAAGATACAGAAAGAGCTTCTGAAAATATTCAACATCCATTCATGACACAAACTCTAAGCTTACTAGAAATGGAAGAAAACTTCCACAGCCTGAAAAACGACATATATGGACAACCTAAAAACTCACACTTCACTGGAAACACTGAAGTTCCCCTCTCCAATACTGGGAACGAGGCAGGGATATCCATTCTCACCACTTCTATTTAACAGTACACCAGAAGTGCTAGTCAGTACAATCAAGGCAAGGAAAAGAAATAAAAGACATGAAGACTGGAAAAGAAGTCAGGCTGTTAACAGCATGCCAACATGACTGTGCACATAAAAAATCTTACGGAATGTAGTTTTAAAAAACCCTATCAGGATAAGTGAATTTTAAAAGGTTGAAGAACACAAGGTCAATATACAACAATTAATTATATGTCTGCATAGAAACAGCAAAAATTTGAAAATGAGTGAATTGTTTTAAGAAAACAATTCCATTATAATAGAATCAATAATATATTTAGGAAGCAAATTAACATAAGACATGTAAGACCTCTACGGCAAAAAATACAAAAAAAGGCTTAATGAAGATATAGTCAAGATGATTCTAAAATTTACTTGGAATACAAAGGACCTAAAATAGCCAAAACAATCTGTTAAAAAAAAAAACAAAACATGTTAGAAGGTTTATGCTACCTGATTTTAAGACTTACTATAAAGTCACAGAAATAAGAAAGTATGGTATCGGCATAAGAGGAGTCATAAAAATGAGTGAAACTGAAGAGTTCATAAATAGATGTACATGGTCAACTTATTTTTGACAAAAGTGAAGTCGAACAATGAGGAAAGAAAAATCTTTTGAACAAATCCTACTGGAACAAGTGGATATCCATATGTAAAGATCTAAACCCTGGTTTCTAACTCATTCCATCTACAAAATTAATTTGAAATGGATCACAATTTAAATGTAAAAGCTAAAACTATAAATCTTCTAGAAGAAAACATATAGGAAAATCATTAAAACTTTGGGGTATACAAAGATTTTTTGGACAAGGATAAAACTCACTAATCACAAAGAAAAAAATTATAAACAGGACTTCATCAAAATATCTGCTCATCAAAAGACCTCAGTAATAAAGAGGCAACCCCGAACTTGAAAAAAATGCATTTGTAGCACATATATCTGACAAAAGATGTATATCCGGAATACGTAAAAGAATTCCTACAGTGAAAAGACAAACAACCCAATTAGAAAATGGGCGAGAGACTTAAATATCCACCTCAAAAAGAAGATATCTGAATAGCCAGCAAGCACACAAAAAGGTGGTCAACATCACTAGTTACTAGAGAATCGCAAATTAAAACCACAAGGCAATACCTAATCTTATATCCTCTAGAATGGCTAGAATAAAAAACACTGACAGCAATAAATGTTGGCAAGGATATAGAGCAACTGGAACTTTCATACAATGTGGACAGAGTAAAAAATGGTACATTCAGTCTAGAGAACTGTTCGTATGAAATTTAACATACATCTATCCTAAGAAAAAACAATTCCAGTCTTAGATGTTTACTCAAGAGAAATGAAAACAAATGCCCACAAAATTTTTTTTCATAGAAATGTTCATAGCAGCCTTATCTATCTATAATAGTTCCAAAGTGGAAACAACGCAAATGTCCACCAACCGGAAAACAGGTAAATGTCGTATATTTGTACAGTGGATACTACCGAACAATAAAAAATAATGAACTACTAATACACACGATATCAAGGATGAATTTCAAAAACATGTTAAGCAAATGAAGCCAAACACAATACCATATGATTCCAGGTTTTACAAATTCCAAGAATAATAAAAATTAATCTACAGTCATAGAAATCAGAAGTAGTTGCTTAGGGCAGTGAAGGATTGGGTTTGCTTAAAAAGGGGAACAAGGAAACTTTTGAGGGAAATAGAAATGTTCTAGATCTTGCTTTGGGTGGTGGTTACATGGGGTATAACACTGTCAAAACTCTTTGAACTAAATTAAACATTTTACATCTGAACATTTTATTGTATGTTAATTATACTTCAATTTTTTAAATCTCTAAAAAACCATTTGAAAAGTATGGAGGGCAATCCAAAATATTAATTGCGATTGCTTCTGGGTAGTGGAATTATGGCTAACTTTTTCTTCTGCTAATTCACACTTTTATGAACTTTACAATTTTTTCAAGAACTGCCCTCTCGCCCCGTTTTCTATATCTATGTTTTGTAATTTCACAAAGATGCCAAACTGTTACCAGTGTTTACTTTCTGAAAGAAAGATTATTAAAACCACTAAAGGAAGTATTCATCAAGGTCTCCTTTTATAGTAGGCATGCAGAAGATCTGAGCAGAATTCAGAGGCTCAGACAGAGGCAACATGGCACACCAAGAAGGGGAACGGATCAGACACAGCCAAGTTCAGCTCTGAAACTGGCTCTCTCTCAACTGGTGGGCAAGACATGGAGCCTCTGTTTCCTCACCCCTAAAATGGCAATAAGATGTATCCTGTCTGCCTCAGGAGGGTTTTGTATTAACTGAAAGAGTTGTGGTCGATAAAGCACAGAAGGAATTCAGGTAGTAGTCACTTCTGATATTACAGAAGAAGTTAGAAAAAAAGTCTTTCTCAAAGGTTACATTATTACTTACCATCCTGTAGACAGCAACAAGAAAAGATTTTGCTAGAACAACGCTGCCCTCTTAAATCAGCAGCCAAGGATTCTTACCTGTTGGTGCGGTAACAGTGATTCTGCAGAGCGTAGGACACGCACTGAGTGTTTAACCGCTTTCTCTCAACCTCCTTCCAACTCTCTTCTGGCCACTTTCTCTTGATCTGCTTCTCCTCATGTTTTTTTCCCACATATTCTGCATAAGTCTGGATCCGATAGCTTTCTGCATATTTGCTGGTATTGACAGCTACAAAGAAAAGAAAACAATCCTTACAAAAGAGTCTGGCTTAGCCCCAGAGATGTCGCTGAGGTAGTCAAAGGGGCCCTGGGTTCAGGTCTGAGCTCGGATGTTGGCTCTGCCATTTAGAAGTCAGGTGGCCTTGGGAATGTTCCATAGACTCCAAGTCTGAGTGTCCTCACAGGGAGAAAAGAGAGAGAGTCACTGCTCCCCAATCTCCTCCAGATTGTGAAAGTCCTCTGTAAACTGTAAAGAACCGTAATAATGTATGTAAAACATTAATTTTCAAAATATTTGCAGATGACATTACCACTTAGAAATTATTTATTTTCAGAGTAAGAAAATGAAAACAACAAAACGAAACCACAAAGGGAAAACTGTAAACCCTAACTTATTTTGTGAAAAATAAAAATGACAAAAGAAACAACCTTGACAGTGGCGCTGACCACTGTGTCAAACACTGAAGGTCTGTCGTATGTCTGTGCTGGTGTTTTGCATGCATGATGTCTCATCTTCACAACACACTTGCAAGGTGGGAACTGTTTTTGCTGATGAGAAAGCAAGGGCACAGAGGTCAGGTAATTTACTACGGACCACACCACGAGTGAGTGGCAGCACTGAGATGCAAGGCCAGATTACTTTAACCCTGAGGTCAGGGCCCTTCTTACTGCTCTGCACCTCACTTTGGTCTCTGCAAATTCAAGATATCGCCACAATACTTGAGACATGCCTCCTCTCCTGCTTTTAGAGCCTGCTAATTCTCTGTAACATGCCTCTGGCTAGCAGGCG